CATGTTAACACTGTTCGCAACCAGCACACTGTAGCATTGGTTTCACGTCGTTTTGGATCCGCGAAGGTCCTAAGCTTCGTCTGTTGGTATACACAGCAGCTTCGGTGTATGGCCAGGACTGTACGACGACGCTGTCGTGCATACGACAGATGATGCCAGGGGTCTCTGGGGCCAGGGGTCTCTGAGCTCGAAACGACAAAAAACAGCGGATATGCACAGTGTTGTTATCGATTTTAGCAGTCGCAACAACTCCCGGGGAATTAATTAAACGGTCTATTGCAAGGTGTCCAGGTCACTGAGTATGCATCAATTCTAGACGCACGTTAAATTCGCAGAAAATGGAATAACCATCAATTTAAAAATAGCAACAGTTTCGCGGAAATTCAACGTACCTCCAGGTATTAGTAATAACAGACATGCGCACAGCGTACGCATAAGCTGATACGCGACATGTCCTGCATTTAAATTCATTCGTAACCTTGGGAACGAACACGCTTTTGACGCACTCAAATTTATTTTAACGCTGATTATTATTTAATTGAAATTAAACGATGCGAGTACAGACAGCTCGGTTCATATATCGTATTTGGTGATTGTCTGTAATACTATGGGTAAAATATAAAATGAAAAAAATACAAACAACGCCGCGACGATTAGAGTATTTACCCGGCGTATAGTAGCACCAGTGTATCGCTGCATTTCTTTATCTCCCTACAGCATCGCTATGTTTAGACTGCGTTCTTCTGCGCAAATTTAAACGGATATGATATGTGTGAGTAGACTGTATAATTGTATAAAATAACGGTGAATGGTGCGTGACGTAAAAGAATAGTATACCATCTCACTGTGTGTTTTAAAATGGTGCAGATGGTGTACACATGCAACCTGTCACGGTCTTCCGGCCTTCAATAAATGTCTCGACTATTTAATGTAAAATAACATTTAACCGTACCTCCTCGTCTTTGGAATGTTCATTTTCCATTGAAACTGTTGTGAAGCTTTCCACACAGGTGAAGTCTTCGCCTGCCAGCACTGATGGATGAGGCACGGGGATATAGTCCAAATCTGTGTCTGGAGACGGAGTCATTGTAAGTTCCGTGGCTGTAGTGGACGTACAGCTTGAAGGCGATGTGACGTTATCGATTTCCGGTTCAATGAATGGTAATTCCGGTAAAATGGGTGGACCACTCAGACCAATTGTCTTGTAGAAATCCTCCTCCATCTTTCCCTCGCCAAAAAACCAGCCTGAGAATAGAAACAGAAAGTATGAACAGA